CATGGTAAGGGTAGCTCAACCGAGCTACACACAGCTCACTACAAACAATCACCCACACAGACAAGGAAGCAGAGGGAACACTTATACAATGACTAATGAGGGATAAGGACCAGGTGTGTGTGATTGATAAGACAAGACAAATGGAGTAATGATAAATGGATCGGCAGTAGCTAGTAAGCCGGTGATGCCGAACGCCGAAACCTAATCGAACAAGGAGGGGAGGCAGCCTCTGCGGAAGTCGTGACACATTCTACCATCTAAACCGCTGTGAAAAGTATTTTCCTTAACCAAAAATATTGTATTTTCAGCTGTTTAAAGCTGGTTTACAAAACCAAAAGTAAAAGATGGAAAAACTAAACTTAAGAACGGGATGCATAGAAATAGCACACATAGAACAAATCTACCGCTTCTTAGACTTGCCTTCAATGAAAATAACATACAGTGGGGAAAAAAGTATTTAGTCAGCCACCAATTGTGCAAGTTCTCCCACTTAAAAAGATGAGAGAGGCCTGTAATTTTCATCATAGGTACATGTCAACTATGACAGACAAAATGAGAAAAAAAATTCCAAAAAGCACATTGTAGGATTTTTAATGAATTTATTTGCAAATTATGGTGGAAAATAAGTATTTGGTCAATAACAAAAGTTTCTCAATACTTTGTTATATACCCTTTGTTGGCAATGACACAGGTCAAACGTTTTCTGTAAGTCTTCACAAGGTTTTCACACACTGTTGCTGGTATTTTGGCCCATTCCTCCATGCAGATCTCCTCTAGAGCAGTGATGTTTTGGGGCTGTCGCTGGGCAACACAGACTTTCAACTCCCTCCAAAGACTTTCTATGGGGTTGAGATCTGGAGACTGGCTAGGCCACTCCAGGACCTTGAAATGCTTCTTACGAAGCCACTCCTTCGTTGCCCGGGCGGTGTGTTTGGGATCATTGTCATGCTGAAAGACCTAGCCACGTTTCATCTTCAATGCCCTTGCTGATGGAAGGAGGTTTTCACTCAAAATCTCACGATACATGGCCCCATTCATTCTTTCCTTTACACGGATCAGTCGTCCTGGTCCCTTTGCAGAAAAACAGCCCCAAAGCATGTTGTTTCCACCCCCATGCTTCACAGTAGGTATGGTGTTCTTTGGATGCAACTCAGCATTCTTTGTCCTCCAAACACGACGAGTTGAGTTTTTACCAAAAAGTTATATTTTGGTTTCATCTGACCATATGACATTCTCCCAATCCTCTTCTGGATCATCCAAATGCACTCTAGCAAACTTCAGACGGGCCTGGACATGTACTGGCTTAAGCAGGGGGACACGTCTTGCACTGCAGGATTTGAGTCCCTGGCGGCGTAGTGTGTTACTGATGGTAGGCTTTGTTACTTTGGTCCCAGCTCTCTGCAGGTCATTCATTAGATCCCCCCGTGTGGTTCTGGGATTTTTCCTCACCGTTCTTGTGATCATTTTGACCCCACGGGGTGAGATCTTGCGTGGAGCCCCAGATCGAGGGAGATTATCAGTGGTCTTGTATGTCTTCCATTTCCTAATAATTGCTCCCACAGTTGATTTCTTCAAACCAAGCTGCTTACCTATTGCAGATTCAGTCTTCCCAGCCTGGTGCAGGTCTACAATTTTGTTTCTGGTGTCCTTTGACAGCTCTTTGGTCTTGGCCATAGTGGAGTTTGGAGTGTGACTGTTTGAGGTTGTGGACAGGTGTCTTTTATACTGATAACAAGTTCAAACAGGTGCCATTAATACAGGTAACGAGTGGAGGTCAGAGAAGCCTCTTAAAGAAGAAGTTACAGGTCTGTGAGAGCCAGAAATCTTGCTTGTTTGTAGGTGACCAAATACTTATTTTCCACCATAATTTGCAAATAAATTCATTAAAAATCCTACAATGTGATTTTCTGGATTTTTTTCCCTCAATTTGTCTGTCATAGTTGACGTGTACCTATGATGAAAATTACAGGCCTCTCTCATCTTTTTAAGTGGGAGAACTTGCACAATTGGTGGCTGACTAAATACTTTTTTTCCCCACTGTATGTGAATTTGGTCGGGTCGGCCAAAAAGTTACATATTGGAGCTTTAAGTAGAATCAAAGATCCTTAACTAACCCATATGGGACAGATGGTCCTTTTACAATGGGAACCGCTGAGACACAGTGGGCAGAACAAGCAAGGAGGTGGGCAGATGCAAGCACAAGCTAGCGAGGTCCAATTGGCGTGTTGCATGTATTTGCATATTTCTGTTAGGGAATGCCTATTCTCTGAAATGCACTTTGGCAAAGGGTCAAGGCTACAACACTTAGTACACTCTGTTCATAACATATTCTAGTTTTGGGAACAGAAAACTGAGGTCAGAAGTTTAATCTATGAGAAAATTAGCAGAATGTTGGCAGAGTTTCAGCTTGCTCCATCTTATCCTACTTCCAGCCACTGGTGGTGAGTAGAAGCCCCCACCAGATGCTTCCGGTTTTTACCCCTTGTGATACATCTGGGTTTCCCCTTTCATCTGTTGGGAAACAGCTATGGAAACTACTTCCACTTTATTGGCTATAATGTGCCTCTATGAAAGTGATAAAAAGCTAAAGGCACTATTACCTACTGTTTGCATGATAATTCAATGTGCAGCTAGTGTCAGCCGAGTTAACTGGAACAGTACAAGGAATGTTGCTGGTTCACACTTCAAAGCAATTTTCTAAGCATTTTCACTATTTTTTGTATCACTATACTCAAATGTTGGATTGCTGTGATTAATTATTAATTTACTTATTACAAGAAAGGTCAAGACATAACTAAACGATCTCTAGTAAAAGTTTAGATACAGTGCTATGAAAAAGTATTTGCCCCCTTTCTAATTTTCTCTACTTTTGCATATTTTTGATACTGAATGTTATCAGATCTTCAACCAAAACCTAATATTAGATAAAGGGAACATAAGTGAACAAATAACACAACAATTACATATTTATTTAATAAACAAAGTTATGCAACACCCAATTCCCCTGTGTAAAAAAGTAATTGCCCCCTTACACTCAATGTTATGATGAGTTTCTCGGGTATCAAAGAATCAAGGATGCAAGGATATACTTAGACACTTTGTAGACAGTTAATGCAAATGTTTAATGATCGGTACCGGGTTCGTTACAACAATGACCAGAGCTTTGCCCTTGGTGTTACGAACTAACTTGAACAAAGAAGACACTCTACCTTATATACCTTCTATTACCCTCTTCCTGGCATACATCTGGTAAGTCTCCATGGGCACTCCCTGTCTTTGATGTTCATCACTCTTTACCCCAAGTCAGTATCCTGCCCATCACTCATGCTATCCTAAACATCAGTAATCTCATTTGACATAATGGAATGTAGACTTTCTGTCTCCTAACCACTTATCTAGTAACTCTAACCTGTTCCCCACGAAACTATGACATGACATCATTATACCATAAAAACATAATATCACTCAATAACTGGTTGTGCCACCTTTAGCTGCAATGACTCCAACCAAATGCTTCCTGTAGTTGTTGATCAGTCTCTCACGTCGCTGTGGAGGAATTTTGGCCCACTCTTCCATGCAGAACTGCTTTAACTCAGTGACGTGTGGGTTTTCAAGCATGAACTGCTCGTTTCAAGTCCTGACACAACATCTCAATTGGGATTAGGTCTGGACTTTGACTAGGCCATTCGAAAACGTCCAATTTGTTGCTTTTTAGCAATTTTCATGTAGACTTGATTGTGTGTTTTGGATCATTGTCTTGCTGCATGACCCAGCTGCGCTTCAGCTTCAGCTCACAGACGGATGGTCTGACATTCTCCTGTAGAATTCTCTGATACAGAGCAGAATTCATGGTTCCTTCTATTAAGGCAAGTCGTCCAGGTCCTGAGGCAGCAAAGCATCCCCAAACCATCACACCACCACCACCATGCTTGACCTTTGGTATGATGTTCTTACTGTGGAATGCAGAGTTTGGTTTTCGCCAGGCATTACTGGAACCATGTCGTCCAAAAAGTTATACTTTTGAATCATCTGTCCAATCATCTGTCCATAGAACGTTCTTCCAAGAGTCTTGATGATCATCCAGGTGCTTTTTGGCAAACTTGAGTCAACTTTTTGGACGAGATGGGTCCCATTATGCCTGGCGAAAACCAAACTCTGCATTCCACAGTAAGAACATCATACCAAAGGTCAAGCATGGTGGTGGTGGTGTGATGGTTTGGGGATGCTTTGCTGCCTCAGGACCTGGACGACTTGCCTTAATAGAAGGAACCATGAATTCTGCTCTGTATCAGAGAATTCTACAGGAGAATGTCAGACCATCCGTCTGTGAGCTGAAGCTGAAGCGCAGCTGGGTCATGCAGCAAGACAATGATCCAAAACACACAATCAAGTCTACATGAAAATTGCTAAAAAGCAACAAATTGGACGTTTTCGAATGGCCTAGTCAAAGTCCAGACCTAATCCCAATTGAGATGTTGTGTCAGGACTTGAAACAAGCAGTTCATGCTTGAAAACCCACACGTCACTGAGTTAAAGCAGTTCTGCATGGAAGAGTGGGCCAAAATTCCTCCACAGCGACGTGAGAGACTGATCAACAACTACAGGAAGCATTTGGTTGGAGTCATTGCAGCTAAAGGTGGCACAACCAGTTATTGAGTGTAAGGGGGCATTTACTTTTTCACACAGGGGAATTGGGTGTTGCATAACTTTGTTAATGAAATAAATGAAATAAATATGTAATTGTTGTGTTATTTGTTCACTTATGTTCCCTTTATCTAATATTAGGTTTTGGTTGAAGATCTGATAACATTCAGTATCACAAATATGCAAAGGTAGAGAAAATTAGAAAGGGGGCAAATACTTTTTCATAGCACTGTATGCATGATATCAAGGACTGAAGTGTCACACTACCATTTGCCTCTATCAATAATTAAATAATGGACTAAATTAAAAATTGATCTATGTACAAAAACCTGTCATGCTTTGTTTTTTAATTTCAGAAGAAAACCGGGATTACGCTATGACTACGAAAGAGAGAATTCAGCGCCGGTTCCCTGGCAAGTTCATGGAGCTCTGCGAACCCTGCTTCCATCGCAGTCCACGGCACATCTCCTGGAAGGGCAACAACTTGAAGTGCAATTCCAGACACAGGCACATTTGGAAGGCAACTCTAGTTCTTTGTGACAAGCAAAATACACTGTTGTATGAGGAGGTCAGGCCGCTGCCCATCCTGCCCCACTTGAACATCCGCTCATGGCAGTACTGTAAGTATGTTGAGAAGGGTGAGCAATGCTGGCATGGCGCTCATCGATGCTGGTTTGCACACAGTGAGGTAGAGATGACCGTGTGGACAGCTGAGAGCCAGGAGGGGTTTGTTCGCTCTGAGCTGCTTCTGGCTGTACATAAACATCAGCCGGTGGCAGCAGCTTCTCTGTCTCCGACCCAGCACTACTGCAAAGCCTGCAGTCTATCGTTTTCTCAATGGGGATGTTACCAGAACCACCTCAACACGTTCAACCACATCAAAAGGACCAGCGAGTATAACAATGAGACAACGACTGAGTGGAAGTATCGAGACCCACCTCAAACCAACCAAGCCTACAAATTGTGTGAAAGGTACATTACACCCAGTCAGTATCACACAACACATACACTGAGTATACCAAACATTAGGTTCACCTTCCTAATATTGAGCTGATCCTATTCATCAGACACTTATAGTTGGATATCTAATGTGATTCATAATAACAGCAATTAACATTTCTAAAACATAAAATGTAATGTAATTTATCCATAGGAGGGCCTCTACATGTGAGCTTGGGAGCAACTGTGTTGATGCTCACTCAGCGGAAGAACTACAGGAGTGGCGCACAAGAGACAAGACTGATCGGAAGACAGTTATTGCTGCTGAAGAGCAGGGTTTACTGTCATACCAGGACAATCTACTGAGAGAGTACAGAGCTAGCATCAACAAGGCTGTTATTGTAAGGCCATTTCTATTAAATATACAGTGCCTTCGGAAAGTATTCAGACCCCTTGACTTTTTCCACCATTTTGTTACGTTACAGCCTTATTCTAAAATGGATTAAATAAATAAAAATCCTCAGCCATCTATACACCATACCACATAATGACAAAGCGAAAACAGTTTTTTATACATTTTTGCAAATGTATTAAAAATAAAAAACCGAAATACCTTTTTTACATAAGTATTCAGACCCTTTGCTATGTGACTTGAAATTGAGCTCAGGTGAATCCTGTTCCATTGATCATTCTTTAGATGTTTCTACAACTTGATTGGAGTCCACCTGTGGTAAATTCAATTGATTGGACATGATTTGGAAAGGCACACACCTGTCTATATAAGGTCCCACAGTTGACAGTGCATGTCAGAGCAAAAACCAAACCATGAGGTGAAAGGAATTGTCCGTAGAGCTCCGAGATAGGATTGTGCCGAGGCACAGAACTGGGGAAGGGTACCAAAAAATGTCTGCAGCATTGAAGGTCCCCATGAACACAGTGGCCTCCATCATGTGGCCTCCCAATGGTCACTCTGACAGAGCTCTAGAGTTCCTCTGTGGAGATGGGAGAACCTTCCAGAAGGACAACCATCTCTGCAGCACTCCCCCAATCAGGCCTTTATGGTAGAGTGGCCAGACGGAAGCCACTCCTCAGTAAAAGGCACATGACAGCCCGCTTGGAGTTTGCCAAAAAGGCACCTAAAGACACTCAGACCATGAGAAACAAGATTATTTGGTCTGATGAAACCAAGATTGAACTATTTGGCCTGAATGCCAAGCGTCATGTCTGAAGGAAACCTGGCACCATCCCTAAGGTGAAGCATAGTGGAGGCCGCATCATGCTGTGGGGATGTTTTTCAGCGGCAGGGACTGGGAGAATAGTCAGGATTGAGGCAAAGATGAACGGAGCAAAGTACAGAGAGATCCTTGTTGAAAACCTGCTCCAGAGCGCTCAGGACCTCAGACTGGTGCAAAGGTTCCCCTTCCAACAGGACAACGACCCTGAGCACACAGCCAAGACAACGCAGGTGTGGCTTCAGGGACAAGTCTCTGAATGTCCTTGAGTGGCCCAACCAGAGACCGGACTTGAACCCGATCGAACATCTCTGGAGAGACCTGAAAATAGCTGTGCAGCAACGCTCCCCATCCAACCTGACAGGGCTTGAGAGGATCTGCAGAGAAGAATAGGAGAAACTCCCCAAATACAGGTGTGCCAAGCTTGTAGCGTCATACCCAAGAAGACTTGATGCTGTAATCGCTGCCAAAAGTGCTTCAACAAAGTACTGAGTAAAGGGTCATACTTATGTAAATGTATATATATTTTAATTGTTTTGCTTTGTCATTATGGGGTATTGTATGTAGATTGATAGGGAGGGGAGAACAATTTAATCAATTTTAGAATAAGGCTGTAATGTAACAAATTTTGGAAAAAGTCAATTGGTCTGAATACTTTCCGAATGCACTGTACTCGCAATCAACTTTAAAATTGACACGTTATAAGATTTCAGTTGCCTTTAATACTGTACTGGTCAGGTAAAATACAACTCATTTCCTGGTTCTGAGAGTCTACTGCAGCGACCTATCGTTCTACGACTAACGCACTGATTTATATTTAATTTAATTTAAAGAAACAGAACACAATTTGAAGATGTGATACAAAACCACTTTGTGTTCATCACAGAGGGACAAACTTTAAATTAGATAGAAGCTGAGACCGTGACGAATCAATAGAGTGACAAATAAACTCTATGGTACGTTCACAGCCCTGCAGCGCAATGCAGCTTGAGTGCCTGTAATGTACAAATTGATGGACAGTCCTATCAGCAAATTAGTGTTAAGGCGGGACTACCGAGCCTCCAATGGCTGTGGATATGTAACCCAATACCCCAGAGTCATTCCATGCCAACTGTTTTGAAGCAGGGACACAGTCAGAACTGTCATGAAGCGATTTGGTCTAAGACACGTTTATTTATAAGCGAATTACGTTGATAAAAATTACATTTACACTGCATAAAATATTACAAGCTTTTTAACACAAACAAACATTCTGTGCCATTGTGATTATACCGTCCATTTTCAGATGTCTGAGGCAGTGTCTGGTGTGAATATCAGCTGTGACAAGGACCTGATGATTTCAGGTCAAAGAGAAAATGTGCCGCTGACATGGAAGTTCAGAATACAGTCGGAGGTAAGGCTAACATACCATTATTACCTTGTTGTACTTAAAAGAGTACTCCATGTAAAGTCGCCACTCAGTCCTGCAAATGTTATGGACGTCAAGATGCTTGCTTAGCGAGTACGACTCCCCCCTGATTAGGCTCATACCTGGCTCGAACTTGGGACCTCTGCTTTGCTAAAACACGTGACCGCCTTTTTCCAGTTACAGTGTAGTATAACTGCAGTTCAACTACAGTACACTGCAGTTATTATGCAATTACTGCATCCAAAATACCACAGTCCACTGCGTCTTTATATCGGACGACCCCTTACAAAAAAAGATTGCAGTAGGGTCCCACCGCCTTTGATTGCATTTCAAGGTAATTATGAGGAAGTCAGTTTACCAGTTCTATTCAATGGTCGTGCATTTGCAATATAATTATTTCACAAAAATAAACGTATTAATGATTTTTTTTGCAGCCTTAAGCCGATGTCACACGAAGCAATCTGGACGCGATTTATGTTGCTTGGAACAAAGTTGCATCTGGGTTGCTCAGTGTGTCACCCCAAATTAGTTGCATTGCATCACAAGATATAGAAATCCATCCTATTTCACGCAAATTAATGTATGCAATGTCCAATCAGTCAGCAAAAAAAGGTTTACATGACTCGTCATATCGTTCTGTTCAGAACTCTGACCCAGTTGTCATGTCAACACAGCTGTTGCAAACCATGACACAATTCCAAATAGGAAATGTATAAAACATTCTAGACACCATGGCTAGTCATGGTTTATGTACATAGTCTGGCAGTCAATACATTTTATTTTAAAAGTGAACCCAGACCTTTCTCTGTCCAGTTTTAACTGACATTGTCCAGCATGAATTGCACTAGCTAGCTCATCACTAGCTTGGTTAGATTTGACACAAGGCCAGTGCTCTTGCATTTGGTCTATTTTGATGCTGTTACAATTACCAAATGTTTGTATAAGCAAATCATTTATGAAACCATGATGTGATGTATGACAAGATTGGATGTATGCAATTGCGTTTGAATTGCTTTGTGTAGAGGCAAAGTTGCTTGAGATGATGTCACTTGCAACTTCCATCTGCAACAGAAATTGTGTCCAAATTGCTTAACTCACAAGATTGTAGTAGTGGCATCCTAATGAATTGTGTCCAATGCTTTTTTACAGAGACTACTTGCACATATAGCGTTACTGAAACAGGAACCTGGGGCCTCTTTCTCCCTGGATGAAAACAGTCCTGAGCCCTGCACTTACTCCACGAGTGAACAGTTCTGTAACTCAGACATGACCTATGACATCACCGTGTCCTTCAAGTCCAACAACCCGGGTCTTTACGAACAGTGGTTGGTGTTTGACTTTGACACAAGGCCAGTGCTCTTGCAGAAACTCAAGGTTGACGTTGGAAAAGAGCCTTCCATTCATCTAGTGGCGCCACCACAAGACGAAATCCATCCATCTTTAAATCAAGAACGCTGGCATCAGGGGAACAGGGACATCATCCCATACTTGGAGAAGACAGAGGCACAGGAAAAGCTGCTTAAGGAATACGAGCATCAGATTAGCATGCTGTATAAACCACTTGATGACTGCAACACGCCCATTAATCACCAGAACTACAAAGAGAGAATGCACAGCTTCCTGTACACAGAGGAGCAGGCAGAAGATCAGGTGGTTTCAAGGTAATGATAGCAATTAGAGTATTTATTGAATACTATATAGTAAAACATCTACATTGGTAAATATACATGAGTTAAAATGGCAATCAACCTACCTAAATCTTTCCACATTCTATACAATTTTAAGACTCAATGTTCGAGCGACCATCACCTTGTCGGTCAACCTAGAGGCCACTGTAGACGACCCTCAGTTTGGGATGAAGATAGCTCCTTTGGGGGAACTATTCTGTGCCGTCTCAGTTCCTTATAATCTCACCCCAGACACCCCAGAGGGTTTGATGCTGAGACGAAGCATCCAGTCAGCTCTCATAGCACCAGTATCTTCAGATAATCAAAGTCACAAGGTCTACGAAGCCATCATCCTCAGAGACGCCACCAGTGAGAATAAAATGCACTTGCAGCTGTCTAAAAGATGCTGCTCTGACCTGAAGCTCCAAAGAAATGAAACATGTGAAATGGAAGTCCAGTTCCAGCTGAATCGTCTGAAGTTCTGTGAGATGCACAAAGCCATAGATCTCCTTCCAGACACAGAGAGAGTGTTGCCAGACTTCAGGAACTGCAGTGTCCCTGTGAGCAAAACACAGCAAAATTACAACCTCAATGCAAGGCAGCAAGCAGCTATGGAATTTATCGTTGGAGATACTGATGGAGGAGGGAGCGTGGCACCACTCCTCATTTATGGACCATTTGGAACTGGGAAAACCCTTACTCTCGCTACGGCAGCCAAGGAGCTGCTACGGCAGCCTCACACCAAAGTACTGATCTGCACCCTTACAAACAGGTAGGAGACAGAGGATTTGATGTAAGTCGCTCTGGATAATTATAATATCGGTTATTCAATGGGTTGACTATACAGTATGTGGCCTCGAAATGTTCAATAATTATGTTTATAATCGTAGCAAGTATATGTAACTAGAGCCTGGTAGAAGTTATGAAAAGTATTTTTATTTTTTATAGTTGGAACATGCTATCCTTATTAACCTGGTGAATTATTATTGTTGGTACAAAAGTACATTGTAAGTGAAGCCATAGAAGAGATTACACTCATTATTTTCTTCAGTTCTGCAGATTTGTATGTGAAGGGTCATTTCCATGAGTGTGTCAACTCTGGAGAACTTGAAATCAAACTTCTTAGAATAAAGGCAGAAGAATCATCCGTACAATCTACTGATGAGATCACCTTACAGTACTGTCCTCGTTCCGAAAACGGCCAATTGTTCTCCCTCCCTGACAAAGATACAGTGGACTCCTGTAGAGTGGTCATAACAACCACTGCAATGGCAAGGCACTTACATGACCTGAAGCTCCCTGACGGCTACTTCACCCACATCCTGATTGACGAAGCCTCCCAGATGCTTGAATGTGAAGCTCTGATGGCCCTTGGTCTGGCTGGGCCAGTAACTCGAGTGGTTCTAGCTGGAGATCACATGCAGATGGGGCCTAAGCTCTTTTCAGTGGATGATGACCAACGCTCCAATCACACCTTGCTGAACCGTCTGTTCCACTACTATCAAGCCCAGGAGAGTAGTGCAGCTTTGAAAAGCAGAATCATTTTCAACGAGAACTATCGCTCCACAAAAGAGATAGTAGAATTTGTGTCCACTAACTTCTACGTTGGCAAGTCTGATGCCATCAAGGCTGTAGGTAATGTTCCAGCTCATCCGAACTGCCACCCCCTGAGGTTCCACCATGTCAGAGGAGAATCTCACTTGGACAACACATCCATGTCGTGGTTTAACCGTAAAGAGGTTGCATCCGTGGTTGAAATAGTGCAAAATCTGCTCAGAGATTGGCCACCCGCATGGGGAAATCAGGATCAAAGCTCAATTTGTGTCCTGTCTGAAGGATGCCAGGTAAATTGGCTTTTGAACATACCACCATTTTTATCATGTATTTCTTGAGCAAATGATAATCTATTGACAATATTGTATTTGAAGTCTTACATGTTGTAATTGTATTTTTTGTGACATATATTGGTTCATAGGTTTCACTGATCCGGAAAGAGCTTCGGAAAAAAAGACATGGCCAAGTGACTGTGGAAAATATAGCCAATGTTCAAGGTATATTTTGACTGTGATTTTGACTTTCATATAACCCTTTCCTTGAACATAATAATGGGTTGTATACTACACTGCTCAAAAAAATTAAGGGAACACTTAAACAACACAATGTAACTCCAATTCAATCACACTTCTGTGAAATCAAACTGTCCACTTAGGAAGCAACACTGATTGACAATACATTTCACATGCTGTTGTGCAAATGGAATAGACAACAGGTGGAAATTATAGGCAATTAGCAAGACACCCCCAATAAAGAAGTGGTTCTGCAGGTGGTGACCACAGACCACTTCTCAGTTCCTATGCTTCCTGGCTGATGTTTTTGTCACTTTTGAATGCTGGCGGTGCTTTCACTCTAGTGGTAGCATGAGACGGAGTCTACAACCCACACAAGTGGCTCAGGTAGTGCAGCTCATCCAGGATGGCACATCAATGCGAGCTGTGGCAAGAAGGTTTGCTGTGTCTGTCAGCGTAGTGTCCAGAGCATGGAGGCGCTACCAGGAGACAGGCCAGTACATCAGGAGACGTGGAGGAGGCCGTAGGAGGGCAACAACCCAGCAGCAGGACCGCTACCTCCGCCTTTGTGCAAGGAGGAGCAGGAGGAGCACTGCCAGAGCCCTGCAAAATGACCTCCAGCAGGCCACAAATGTGCATGTGTCTGCTCAAACGGTCAGAAACAGACTCCATGAGGGTGGTATGAGGGCTCGACGTCCACAGGTGGGGGTTGTGCTTACAGCCCAACACCGTGCAGGACGTTTGGCATTTGCCAGAGAACACCAAGATTGGCAAATTCGCCACTGGCGCCCTGTGCTCTTCACAGATGAAAGCAGGTTCACACTGAGCACATGTGACAGACGTGACAGAGTCTGGAGACGCCGTGGAGAACGTTCTGCTGCCTGCAACATCCTCCAGCATGACCGGTTTGGCGGTGGGTCAGTCATGGTGTGGGGTGGCATTTCTTTGGGGGGCCGCACAGCCCTCCATGTGCTCGCCAGAGGTAGCCTGACTGCCATTAGGTACCGAGATGAGATCCTCAGACCCCTTGTGAGACCATATGCTGGTGCGGTTGGCCCTGGGTTCCTCCTAATGCAAGACAATGCTAGACCTCATGTGGCTGGAGTGTGTCAGCAGTTCCTGCAAGAGGAAGGCATTGATGCTATGGACTGGCCCGCCCGTTCCCCAGACCTGAATCCAATTGAGCACATCTGGGACATCATGTCTCGCTCCATCCACTAACGCCACGTTGCACCACAGACCGTCCAGGAGTTGGCGGATGCTTTAGTCCAGGTCTGGGAGGAGATCCCTCAGGAGACCATCCGCCACCTCATCAGGAGCATGCCCAGGCATTGTAGGGAGGTCATATAGGCACGTGGAGGCCACACACACTACTGAGCCTCATTTTGACTTGTTTTAAGGACATTACATCAAAGTTGGATCAGCCTGTAGTGTGGTTTTCCACTTTAATTTTGAGGGTGACTCCAAATCCAGACCTCCATGGGTTGATACATTTGATTTCCATTGATAATTTTGGTGTGATTTTGTTGTCAGCACATTCAACTATGTAAAGAAAAAAGTATTTAATAATATTATTTAATTCATTCAGATCTAGGATGTGTTGTTTAAGTGTTCCCTTAATTTTTTTGAGCAGTGTATAAAAACTTTGACATGTTGTTTTCATTTCTTAACAGGCAAACAGTTCAGGGCAATAGTATTGACAGCCGTTCAAACTCGTGACAGCCTCCTTTCCTCTGACTCACCTTGTCACCAGTTTTTCAACGATGCTCGCGTGCTGAACACGGTCATGACTAGGGCTCAATCCCAGGTTGTTGTGGTTGGAGATGCTGCTGCTCTTTGCTACTTTGGGAAAAGCTCAAGGATATGGAAAGCCTACATAGACCACTGCATCAGCAAACACAGTGCAGATCCGCAAACCCTTACTGAAGATTACTTGAAACAGGAAGTAAGAGAGATTTCAAGATTTTTCAAAGGGGATGAGGAGGACAACAGTGATAGTGAGTCATCAATATCTGAGATACCTGACATAGATGATCCAATACTGAGGGAGCTTCTTGACGAGGGTAAAGATGTACGACTCACTGTAACAGCTGACGGCCTGTTGGGTATCACCCAGGGGAAGCCAATTGTCAACCCATTAGATGGATTTGAGATTAACACAAGCCAAGAAAGCTCCCCTTTGTATCTTCAGGCATCGATAAAGAGAGACCCGAGTATCTACAAACACTGTCACTTGAATTTGGAGAGGTTTGACTCAGGCTACGCCATACCTCTTGAAGAGCCCTCCCTCTGCATTTCTATCAAAGGTAGAAAGAATCTTGGTCGTTCTTTTCCTGGAGATCAGGTTATTGTGGAGATCTTGGACAATGAGTGCCATCCCCCAAATGGGAAAGTGTTAGATGTGCTGAAGGTTAAAAATGCCTCCATGTTGTTTGTCTGTACCATTGATAACCATGACACCCAGGTGATGACACCCATCAACAACTGCATCTCCAAAATTTACACCCCATTTTGGAGGGACAAGCCAAACTACATTGCAGTGCGAAAACTGGAGGATCTGAGATTTGAAGAGTTTGTGAAGATAAATGAGGAATCCAAAAGAAACAATCTCTTTGTTGTCAAAGTCTTGAAGTGGCGAGAGCAATTTCGATACCCTTTAGGAGTTGTCGTAAAAGTCCTTCCCAAAGTGACATCTTTAGATAGTGGACTAGAAGTATTGGACATAGAGTATCAACTGACAAGGGCCCCTCCTGTCGAGAAAGACCATGAAATTGTCAAGGAACTGAACACAGATACGCAAAGTCGAATGGATTATCGAAAATTCACAACCTTTACAATTGACCCAGCACATTCCAAGGATCTTGATGATGCAATCAGTGTAAGAGATTTAGATGAACAATATGAGATTGGAGTTCACATTGCTGATGTTGCAAGCCTTGTGACCAAGGACAGCCCATTGGACAAAAATGCACAACAGAATGGAACTGCTTTTTATCCCCCTGGAAAAGAGCCTGTTTATATGTTCCCACATTGTCTGAGCACCAAGGATTTCAGTCTACTCCCTGGATATGAACGAAATGCCATATCATTGATGGTGGAACATTGACAAGAAAACGGACCGCATCAAGACAAGTAAGTTTAGCCTATCTGTAATAAAGTCAGATAGAAAGTTGTCATATGAGGAAGCTGAAAACATCATCCAAAACTCTGCTGATAATGGCCAACGATATGACACTTTGGAGGGCTGCCTCGCTAAAGCATGTCACTTCTCTGAGGTTCACAGAAAGGACAGGAAACTGGAAGACTGGTGCTATAAGTCACCTGATGATGATGTAATCGTTGGTAGAAGACGGTCTCATAAGATGGTGGAAGAGCTCATGGTTATGTTTAACCACGCTGTCACTGAACTGTTGCTGAAAGATGCAAAGACAGTTAGCTGCACCCCAGTCAGATGCCAAGACAAGCCAAACACAGAGAAGCTTTGTCAACTAAAAGAAAAATACAGTTATTTGATTCCCCTGTCCATTCATTTCTGCCACTGCATTGATCAGATTGGTAACGTTGATGATAACCAGAGGGATGCGGTTTCTAAGCCTTACCCAGGTTTGACCAATCAGATGCTTGCAACGGGAGCAGAGAAGAAAGCCCATCGGGGTCAAGTTGTCCAGCCATCTGAGACATTCTCTCTGTTAACATCCATTGTGAGGAGTCTTGAGGCAGCACTGCAAGACAAGGATATCCCTAGAATTGTGGACCTGATAACAACTGATGACATTCATCCCCAGCTACTGCCTGTGATCCTTGAATTCAGGAAGACGATCCGTAGAGCATATGTTCTACGCTCTAACTCAACGTACCTATCTAGAGTTGGCCACTATGACCTTCAGCTTGAAAGCTACACTTGGGCTTCCTCGCCCATTCGTCGGTACGTGGACGTTATTGTTCAGAGGCTCCTGCACTCAGTTCTTGAAAACAAAGCAGTCAGGTACACTTCTTTGGAAATTGACCAGTCCTGTCTGAGTTTTTCTGAAAGATCTGATAAGCAAAAGATGTACGAGAAGAAAGCTCGTTGCTTGAGTCTTGCAACGCAGCTGAACAATCAAAGTGCACAGAAGGTAGCCTTTGTCATTGATGCCTCCCCAGTTGGAAAGAGTTTAAGGGTGTATTTTCCATTTAATCGAACCTCAATGCCAGACGTAATCCATATCATGTATAGGGATCTGCAGTTAACAGACCAACCAGAGTACAATGAGCATGACAACCATGTGGTTCTGAAATGGAAGAGAAGAGTATACTCCTTCACAAATGAGAACATCCACGCTGAACTGCAACAACAGTTGCCTCATCCATTTGTGACATCAGTGCCAACAGACTTGTGGAAAGGGATGCTGTCAGCTCTGAAGGAGAAGAACTGGGACATCGTGTTCCAATCCTTACAGACCATCAGCTCAAGTGTCAATGATAACCAACAGGTCTGCTCAGGTCTGCTCCAATATACACCAACGATGGCCAGAACCAATCCAAATCCAGGTCATTACATTGAATTGCCATTGAGGGTAAAGCCTGGTGAAACACTTGAGGTGCAACTGGGCACTGACACACAGCGGGGATTATTAATACCTGTGGTTCAGATGCTTGTTGTACGTAACAAGTTTGAGATTTGCTTGGAACACTCAAAAGACCCAACTCTGTGTTTCTCCAAGTATGCACTCCATTCGTCGAAGCAAACATACACCACTTACTGGGACTATCAGAAGATATGGAAACCATTGTGTGAGATGGAGTCAGCCTCCAATGCTGTAGCAGAAAATGACAGCATTGTCCTTGAAGATGTGCCTTTGACATGGAAACAGATACAGAAGGAGAGACAACTTGGTGGATACTTCCAGTTGCCACTTGAGAAGATGAAACAGTGGGCCATTGAGTACGGTCTCAAACACAGCTTTCTGTGTATCCGGATGAGGTACCAAAATCGAGCAGATTTGACAAACAATGGCGCTGATGATGATCAGCATGTGGACCTCACCAATATCCCATCTCTCATTTGGGTTGCTCATGGAATAACCACTGGGGTCACTGATGAGGAAGAAGCTAAAAAGCTCCTCTATGTCCAGATAGACTTCCGGATTAATCACATGTCCATGGCCAAGATTCCAGAGAGGGTCTTCGGGAAAGATACTAAATTCACAGTGGAATTGATTCCAAAGCTGCTACCTGATGTGTAAGTATTTGGACTATTTAATATTCTAATACAAATGTGTTTGTAGCGTCAAAAGAAGATAAGATGTGCAATTAAATGAAAGATTTTGTGTTATTTTCAGGCGTAAAGAGACTGCCGTCACTAACCTCACTCAGGCTAACGAACTTGTGAAGGACATTGCTCTTGGCAAGAGGACAAACTCAGGTAGATACACCTAACACATTTTACCTCAGAACACTACACAAGCCACCATCTATACCCAGCAAATTCACTCTCTGTTGAATTTTTATACATTTTTAGTTTTAACTTTGACAAATATATTCACGGTAAATTCATGTCTCATGTCTGCTTGTAATAAGTGAGGTTGTGAGGTTGTTATGAAATGATCAGGCATGAAACATTTTTTGTGGTATTGTTTTACACAGCACCTGTAACTAAAGAGCTGAGACCTGCCAGGTTTGAGATCAAAGGTCATTCCTCCGTCAAGTTTCCTATTCTGAATAGCAGCCAAACCAAAGCTATTAAAGAGGCCCTCGACAACCGATTCACTCTCATTCAGGGGCCACCAGGTAAGCACTTGGATGTTTTACAAAGCCTATATTACCTTTCTCATCATGCAGTTCAGTTATAATCTTAATACATTCTAACCATTTTCTTAGGCACTGGGAAGACGGTGGTTGGAGTCCACCTTGTTTATTGGTTCTTTCTGCAAAACCAAAAAGTCCCAAACCACATAAGGCCTAAAGCAGCTAATGGGTCTTCAAAGAGGAGGTGCATTCTATATTGCGGACCCTCTAATAAATCGGTGGATGTTGTAGCTGGTAAGAATCCCCCCCCCCTTCTCCTTACATTATGTTAGGTATGGCTTCATCTGCAATTGATTTCAATGTGGGCCTGTGTCACTGTCTCTTTTTGTGAGGTCTCAGTGAGTCAGATACGTTTGCAGTCAGATAACCATACCACTGTCATAGCACCAGTACTTAACTTGGGCAGGAGCTTACCGGAACTGACTACCAGCACCTCAAATTGTCTTCTGCATGAGTTCCTGCACCTCCTATAGAATATTAGCTCAAAAGTATTGAGGAGTTCATGCACCTAAATATTAACAGTACCGGCACCAAAATGAGTACCGGCACCTATTTCAGTCCTTAAGTCAAGCACTGCATAGCACTAAAACTTGTCTCATCATATTTGTCAAAGGTCAACTTCTGAAACTCCGGGAGGTGTTGAAGCCACTCCGAGTTTACAGTGAGCAGATGGAGATGTTGGAGTTTCCTTACCCTGGCAGCAACTTGAAGCTGTCACGCAGGTCAATCAGGGAGGAGAGACCCAAGAGAGAGCTCAGGTCGGGGAAAGAACTGTCCGTGTGTATTTTGGTTGGGCCGTAGAAATCGGTACTATGATGAAAGTTGAGGCTTTATATTTGCATTGCATAACTATTTGTTTTATCACTGATCATTACTCGGCATACAGAGTTATGACATGATGTCTGTTTATGCCTGTGTAAGGATGGTTTGCTTTTTGATTGTTTTCAGTTCCATCACGTTGCATCATCTTATTCGGATGCCGGAGAACCCATTCTCCAATGACATTATTGATTTTGATGCAAGAATTCAAATGGGAAAGGATCTCACAGACAAGGAGATTGAGAGGTACTTTCATGTAAATAAATAACCACAGATGATGCTCTTTGAAGAGCATACGTTTACCTAATTCATGTATAATTCTGACATGCGTTATGATTTTTCTATCAATTTGGTGTATTTTCCCATATATCTTTTTAACTTTAAGCTACAAAGTCCTCCTAAGTCATGCTCGGAATCATGAGTTGATGAGGCATGATGTCATCCTCTGCACTTGTACTGCGGCGTCAAATCCCAACTTCTCCAAACTGGATTTGCAACAGATTATCATTGATGAGTGTGCCATGGCAACTGAGCCTGAAGCCTTCATCCCCCTTGTGACCCATAAACCCGAACAGGTAATTGATCATCAATGACTAATTAATTTCTCAAGTTGCAAGCAGGGAAAAGGTTAAATAATAATAATAATATGCCATTTAGCAGACGCTTTTATCCAAAGCGACTTACAGTCATGCGTGCATAATTTTTTTTTTGTGTATGGGTGGTCCCGGGGATCGAACCCACTACCTTGGCGTTACAAGCGCCGTGCTCTACCAGCTGAGCTACAGAGGATGTAACCGATCTTATGATTATGTATTATCCTTTCAGATTGTTTTACTCGGCGATCACAAGCAATTGCAGCCCATTACGCATTGTGATCTTTCAGCAAGGTTGGGCATGAGGAAATCTCTGTTTGAGCGTTACATGGAAAAGGCGTTGATGCTTGATACGCAGTACAGAATGGTATGAAGCATGCATTGGTTTCGGAAATGTTTCCGTGTTCTATAGTAGAAGTTGTGTGGTTTGATTGTTCTCTGACATTCCACATCTGATTGCAAACTTGCACGAACATTCTCTATTGTCTTTGTCATCATTTTCATTTTGTTCGTATAGAACTTTGGGAATTACTCACTGCAATTTTGTCTTTTCAGCATGAGCGTATTTGTGAGTTTCCCTCAAAGGAGTTCTACAAAGGTATTCTCAAGACTGGAGCACCTCGGAAGGCCAGCGTCCTGCTCACTCAGTCTCAACATCTGACACCCATCCTTTTTGGACATGTTGACGGAAAAGAGATCAGTCTTGTGGTCTCCACCGAACGGGGGAACGAAAACTCAAAGGCCAACTTCGCAGAGGCTGAGGAATCGGTGAGCAACAACAACCAAGCAATGTTACAAAACACTGTCAATGCATAATGCCATGCTAACGGTGAAACATCAACATTTTGTTTTTTTGTCAGGTTCGCATCGCTTCTCTGTTGATCAAGCGTGCTGGGGTGGCAGCTAGAGACATAGCTATTCTAACGCCATACAATGCCCAGGTAGCCAAGGTGAATGAAACCCTGTTAAACAACCATATCCAGAATGTCAACGTGAGCACCATCACAAAGAGTCAAGGTACAGTTATTTTGTCCATGGAGCACAAAGATACAGTATATAAAAGATACAATATATAGAAAGGGAAGGGAAACTGAACTCCAGCTGAGTATTTATACTTTTTTTCTACAGGAAGTGAATGGCGTTATGTCATCTTGTCCACTGTGCGCTCTTGTCCCAAGTCGGAAATTGACACAGAGCCAACCAAAGCATGGCTCATCAAGATGCTTGGTTTCATCATAGACCCAAACCAAGTCAATGTGGGCATCACTCGGGCTCAGGAGGGACTGTGCATTATTGGTAAGAAAATGTTCCAGGTGATATTATACAGCCAATGTCTCTCTGTTCACCTTGTTGACTCATATCAGGCACCACTGTAGCACTCATATAGCCAGCTTCCCAGACAGATTTAGCCTAGTCCTGTACTAAAAACCACTTTAAATGACTAGCTTTAATCTGTGTCCAGGAAACCGGCCTTTAGAGTCTAAATTAAGGAAATAGGTGCAATGATAGTGTGCACTGAAAAGTGAATTAACAATCAAATCAAACCAACAATGCATTTATTTTTTAATAAAAAAGTAAAATAAAACAACAACAAAAAAGTGTTGAGAAAAAAAGAGCAGAAGTAAAATAAAATAACAGTAAGGAGGCTATATACAGGGGGGTACCGGTGCAGAGTCAATGTGCGGGGGCACTGACTAGTTGAGGTAGTTGAGGTAATATGTACATGTGGGTAGAGTTAAAGTGATTATGCATAAATAATTAACAGAGTAGCAGCAGTGTAAAAAGATGGGGTGGGGGTGGGGGGGGCTGTGCAAATAGTCTGGGTAGCCATGATTAGCTGTTCAGGAGTCTTATGGCTTGGGGGTAGAAGCTGTTGAGAAGCCTTTTGGACCTAGACTTGGCGCTCCGGTATCGCTTGCCGTGCGGTAGCAGAGAGAACAGTCTATGACTAGGGTGGCTGGAGTCTTTGACAATTTTGAGGGCCTTCCTCTGACACCGCCTGGTATAGAGGTCCTGGATGGCAGGAAGCTTGGCCCCAGTGATGTACTGGGCCGTACGCACTACCCTCTGTAGTGCCTTGCGGTCGGAGGCCGCACTACAGCCCTGTCGATGAGAATGGGGGCGTGCTCAGTCCTCTTTTTTTTCCTGTAATCCACAATCATCTCCTTTGTCTTGGTCACGTTGAGGGAGAGATTGTTATCCTGGCACCACACTGCCAGGTCTCTGACCTCCTCCCTACAGGCTGTCTCATCGTTGTCGGTGATCAGGCCTACCACTGTTGTGTCGTCGGCAAACTTAATGATGGTGTTGGAGTCGTGCCTGGCCATGCAGTCATGGGTGAACAGGGAGTACAGGAGGGGACTGAGCACGCACCCCTGAGGGGCCCCCGTGTTGAGGATCAGCGTGGCAGATGTGTTGTTACCTACCCTTACCACCTGGGGGTGGCCCGTCAGGAAGTCCAGGATCCAGTTGCAGAGGGAGGTGTTTAGTCCCAGGATCCTTAGCTTAGTGATGAGCTTTGAGGGCACTATGGTGTTGAATGCTGAGCTGTAGTCAATGAATAGCATTCTCAGGTAGGTGTTCCTCTTGTCCAGGTGGGAAAGGGCAGTGTGGAGTGCAATAGAGATTGCATCATCTGTGGATCTGTTGGGGCGGTATGCAAATTGTAGTGGGTCTAGGGTTTCTGGGATAATGGTGTTGATGTGAGCCATAACCAGCCTTTCAAAGCACTTCATGGCTACAGACGTCAGTGCTACGGGTCGGTAGTCATTTAGGCAGGTTATCTTAGTGTCCTTGGGCACGGGGACTATGGTGGTCTGCTTGAAACATGTTGGTATTACAGACTCAGTCAGGGACATGTTGAAAATGTCAGTGAAGACACTTGCCAGTTGGTCAGCACATGCTCGGAGTACACGTCCTGGTAATCTGTCTGACCTGCTTAAAAGTCTTACTCACATCGGCTACGGCTACAGCTACGGAGAGCGTGATCACATAGTCATCCGGAACAGCTGGTGCTCTCATGCATGCTTCAGTGTTGCTTGTCCCTTGTCTATTGTTAGATTCCCATTGTTGTTACATTCTTTTGTACACTTCTGCTCTCAGCCTCTACTGGCGCTGGCGTTGACATGCGCCTTGGCGGTTTACATTTGCTCTTTGTTTCCCTTTAGGAAACCGAGAGTTGCTGTGGTGCAATTCACTGTGGAGGAAGCTATTGGTTCATTACCAGGAACGTGGCTGTGTGGTGGATCCTGCTAAGGACATTCAAGTTCAAAACCCACACGTCAAAACCAAATCAAAGGCCAAAGTAGCTTCGAAGTTGCGAAAAAGAAAATGCTAGAGATTCTGCAGTACCTACAATTGACTGCTGGGGATGATTTTGAAAATTTAGATATGCATTGCTAAGGTGCTGCTTGATGTCTTGATCTTTAACACTTGTGAAAAAGGGAAGACTTTTGCACTACTGAAGAGTTAATGAAGTCGATTTTTATGATTGTTTTTTGCATATGAATATAATATGGACTGTTATCATTACAATACCATTGTGTATTTCAGAACTATGTATAAAAGAAAAGCGACAATCATTGCACTGGTAATACAAAAAGATTTAATATATATATTTCTACCTTTTTGTTGTTAACCTTGACTTTTTGTACATATGCTTTTTAAGTGTTAGAGGTGCTTTATACTCAGTCAGATGTTTTGTATGTTTTATAATGATTGTGAAATGTTTTAATCATTGTATATTAAACTAGCCCTGCTATGTATTTAATGTATATGTCACTTCTTTATTCACAACTAGAGGGAGCTAAGACCTCAATTTGGGTTTTGACCATCAACACACTATAATTTCATCATATCACCCTGACCCATTATTCATAAGCATACTGTATGTGTGTTTGGGAGTTAAACTGTAACCTTCTCACTGACGCTCAGTTTGATAGAGCCCATGATTCAACTACAGTGACATAGATCTTGTAGGGATAGTTGTAGATTGATATAATAAATATATATATATATATATATATTCCTCTTATCAAGCCATGATTCATTTAATAATACACAGAAAGTAATACTTTTTCATTATTGCAATACTAATTACCAACACCATATTCTGTCTGGGTCAATCATCAAGAGCCAAGATAAGTAGAACATCACGTACCATTTATTATGTGTGAACTATCCCTTTAAGACTGTAGCCTACTTGTATGTGAAGCTATAAGTGTTCTGTTAAAAGGTCTGGAGCTTTATGGCACAGGTGGTAGTGCACTTCCCCTTGGCTGTTTTCAGCCCCTCTCTGGCTGTTCCCCCTCTACACTTGTATAAACAAAGGTGCTATCTATAACCTTTTTTATTTTATTTTACCTTTATTTAACTAGGCAAGTCAGTTAGGAACAAAATCTTATTTACAATGACGGCCTACCCGGACGACGCTGGGCCAATTGTGCGCCGCCCTATGGGAGTCCCAATCACGGCCGGTTGTGATACAGTCTGGAATCAAACCAGGGGGTCTGTAGTGACGCCTCAAGCACTGAGATGCAGTGCCTTAGACCGCTGCGCCACTCGGGAGCCTTAAATGGTTCTCAGGCTGTCCCCATAGGAGAACCCTTTGAATAACCCTTTTAGGATGCAGGTAGAACCCTTTTGGGTTCCACGTAGAACCCTTTCTACAGAGGGTTCGACATGGAATCCAAAAGGGTTCTACCTGGAACTAAAAAGGGTTGTTCTATGGGTACAGCCGAGGAACCCTTTAGGGAACCCCTGCTGCTACTACACTAGCTTTTCTAAGAACATGGGACAGTATATAGCATTTAGTTGAGGGGAATAATACAGACATTTTAACAAGATACAGACCTGGACAATTCACAGAAATACTAATGTTATTGAATAAAATTCAACAAATGATACAAAAGATTAGTCATGACCATTGTTGCCATTTTATGTAATGTATATTTAAAACGGGAACAATGGAGCTCAGAGTAACCGATGTCTAGATATAACACTGTTTATGGTGTTCCCCCTCACATAGGGAAGAGCAGGAAACAACTGAATAAACAGCGATTATCGCTATCACCATAGAGACTGAAGCTTGAGGGGAGGCGCATGAAGACCAAGTCTCCCTCTTCCAGCTCTAGAATCACTCCTTTGCATACACTCGCAACATTTCCGTGACTGTTCCACTGATGAGGCCACATTATACTCTGGTCATTCTTGAACAAACGTACGCTCAGGTATTGCGATTAGCGCTTGTCCATGGCACTGAATCTGAAGAAGTAGACTCCTCTCACTGGTGCTGTGACGATACCTGCAGCAGAGGAAAGGCAGGGTGAGATCAACACTGTCCATCTCTCATAGACATTGGAGCAGCATCTTATAGTGATGGTGGACTCTATAGCTGGCCCCTGTGGACACTTGTGTTCTATTATATTGATTGGTGTGTGATCAGTACCTGTAATTGGACTGTAGGCTTGGCTTATGTTGGTGAGGACTTTGTGGTAGACCAGAGTGGTGTCAGTACTGAAGGGTCCAACATTAATACCTAAACCAGCAGAGAATGCCACCTTTGGCCTCTCTGTGAACACAGGGGGAGTGACACATATTTTTGTTATCCAACACACTGTACTGTACACATGCCATCCCCTAGGGCTAAACATTTCACAACTACACTACATATACAAAAGTATGTGGACACCCCTTCAAATTAGTGGATGCGGCTATTTCAGCCACACCCATTGCTGACAGGTGTATAAAATCGAGCACACAGTCATGCAATCTCCATAGACAAACATTGGCAGTAGAATGACCTTACTGAAGAGCTCAGTGACTTTCAACATGGCACCGTCATAGGATGCCACCTTTCCAACAAGTCAGTTCATCAAATCTCTGCCCAGATAGAGCTGCCCTGGTCAACTGTAAGTGCTGTTATTGGGAAGTGGAAACATCTAAGAGCAACAACGGCTCAGCCGCGAAGTGGTAGGCCACACAAGACCTTGGAACAGGACCACCGAGTGCTGAAGTGCGTAGAGCGTAAAAATCGTCTGTCCTCGGTTGCAACACTCACCATCGATTTCCAAACTGCCTCTGGAAGCATATCAGCACAAGAACTGTTCGTCGGGAGCTTCATGAAATGGGTTTCCATGGCCGAGCAGCCGCACACAAGCCTAAGTTCACGATGCGCAATGCCAAGCGTCGGCTGGAGTGGTGAAAAGCTTGCCGCCATTGGACTCTGGAGCAGTGGAAACGCGTTCTCTGGAGTGATTAATCACGCTTCACCTTCTGGCAGTCCGACTGATTAATAAAATATAAGAAAAAATGTCTAGCACTGACCAAATGATCAATAAAACCCCTAATTTTATACTTTCATATCCATACCATACCTGCATTCTCTCTCTTCAGCTCTTCCGCCTGGCTCTCACTGGCAGTCGTGACATGCCCAAATGACTATCGCCCCGTCGCGCTCACCTCGGTCATCATGAAGTGCTTAGAGAGGCTGGTCGTGGCCAACATCAAGGCCAGCATGTCAGGCACACTGGACCAACTCCAATCTGCCTACCACTCCAACAGATCCACTGAAAATGCCATATCCATCACTATTAACGCGGCCGTAACACATCTGGACAAGAGGAACACATGGCTCTTGTCACTCGGGCTCCCGAGTCTTAGGCACTGCATTTCAGTGCTTGAGACGTCACTACAGACCCCCTGGTTCGATTCCAGGCTGTATCACAACCGGCCGTGATTGGGAGTCCCATAGGGCGGCGCACAATTGGCCCAGCGTCGTCCGGGTTTGGCCGGTGTAGGCCGTCATTGTAAATACGAATTTGTTCTTAACTGACTTGCCTAGTTAAATAAAGTAAAAATAAAATGTGAGAATTCTGTTCATTGACTACACTCTTAGAAAAAAGGGTTATTTGGCTGTCCCCATTGGATAACCCTTTTAAGAACCCTTTTTGATTCCAGGTAGAACCCGTTTGGGTTCCCTGTAGAACCCTCTGTAGAAAGAGTTCTACATGGAACCGAAAGGGGTTCTACCTGGAACCAAAAATGGTTCTTCAAAGGGTTCTCCTATGGGGACAGCTGAATAACTCTTTAAGGTTCTAGATAGCACCTTTTTTTCTAAGAGTATACAGTTCAGCATTCAACACTATTGTTCCCTCCAAGCTCAACACCTAGCTCAGAGCCCTGGGTCTGGACACCACCCTCTGCAACTGGACCCTGGACTTCCTGATGGGCAGACCACAGGCTGTGAGGATTGGCAACAACATCTCCTCCACTCTGACTTTTAACACAGGGGCCCCCCAGGAGTGTGTCCTCAGTCCTCTGCTTTACTCCCTGTTCACCCATAACTGCGTGGCTTTGCACGACAACAATTCCATCATCAAGTTCGCTGAACGAAACCACGGTTGTTGGCCAGATAAACAACAACGACGAGTCAGCCTATAGGGAGGAGGTGAGTGAACTGGAATTGTGGTGTCATGACAACAACCTCTCACTCAACTTCAGAATAACAAAGGAGTTGATTGTTGACTTCAGGAAGCAGAGGAGGGAACATGCCCTGATCCACATCAACGGGACTGCAGTAGAGAGAGTCACTGAGAGCGTCCTGATCGGTTGCATCACGGCTTGGTACAGGAATTGCTCCGTCCATGACTGCAAGCCCCTCCAGTGGGTGGTGAAGACGGCCCAGTACATCACTGGGACCGTGCTCCCACCCATCCAGGACATCACTGGGACCGTGCTCCCACCCATCCAGGACATCACTGGGACCGTGCTCCCACCCATCCAGGACATCCACTCCAAACGGTGCCTGAGGAAGGCCCGCAGCATCATCAAGGACCCAACACAACCCAGCCACGAGCTGTTCACTCCCTTACCATCAGGCAGATGGTATCGGAGCATGAGGTCTGATACCAACAGGCTCAGAGACAGTTTCTATCTACAAGCCATCAGACTGTTGAACACTGTTGAACTGGACTGACCACCTGCACTGATTCTCCACACTTTAGCACACATGCACTCACTCATGCACACACTCACACACACACACATACATTCATGCTACACACACATCACAACTGCTGCTACCAGACTCTTATTATACGGCTCAGTTTAGACACGTTCAATTTACAATGAACTGACTGGGGTGACTGGGATGACTATGGTGACTGTGGTTCCTCTGGATGCAGTGGATGCAGTTCTTTTGAAGTACACAGGGGGGCATCAAGACCCAATAAGTAGGCTACCATCTCGGTTGGTAAGTGGAACAACAAAGCTACCATCTCGGTTGGTAAGTGGAACAACAAAGCTACCATCTCGGTTGGTAAGTGGAACAACAAAGCTACCATCTCGGTTGGTGAGTTGAACAACAAAGCTACCATCTCGGTTGGTGAGTGGAACAACAAAGCTACCATCTCGGTTGGTGAGTTGAACAACAAAGCTACCATCTCGGTTGGTGAGTTGAACAACAAAGCTACCATCTCGGTTGGTGAGTTGAACAACAAAGCTACCATCTCGGTTGGTGAGTTGAACAACAAAGCTACCACCTCGGTTGGTAAGTGGAACAACAAAGCTACCATCTCGGTTGGTGAGTTGAACAACAAAGCTACCATCTCGGTTGGTGAGTTGAACAACAAAGCAAAATCTTATTGTACCCAAGTCGAAGATGAGATCTGTATGATGTACAAAAAATTAATGAGTCATATTTAATTAGGATATATTTGAAGACTAATTATATTTTAGCATTTGTATATCTGTCCAATTG